AAAAGCGGAATTCAACTTGGGGTAATTATGGAAAAGCGTCCTGCTATGAGAAAGTGAGAAAACAGAGTTTTTAAGGAAGAAAAATAGAAAGAGGCTTTGAAAAGCTGTCCATAATTAGATTTGTTTAAGGTTTGTTTTCTGTATGAGTTTGGTCAACTATTGTTAGATGTTAAAAGTAGGAATCTTCTAGTTCCTATTGTCCTTTATGTAGTAATTACAACTGGCGTATGCATGACTAACAGTGTACAATGGTGAGCAAACTTGGAAGCAAAGCTACGCCATTGTGTGATAGAGGCACTAACGAACTCTTAAGAAAATGACTTGAACAGTTTTTCACGCGAAGTTCTGGTCTCTTGGGAGATATTTCAAAGATTAAGTAATGGCCCAAGTAAGAACTATAGAAGCAAACGGCAAAGGAATGCAAGAAGGTGCTAATTGTGYATTGTATAATCCATCCATCCCATTGGTTGAAACAAGAAAATCTGCTATAATTTTACAAGTTAGCGCATTTTCTAATATTTTATTCAATATCTGATTCCGACTTCATGAAAACTTTCTTTAGCTACAATATTAAGGCAATTCTATGTGGGGAACATAGCAAATTAGAAGCTTCTTTTGGCTATTGTTTTGAGTGCTTATGATTGGATAAGAGGTTTTAATACAAAAGAAACTTTGTTTCAACATAGAGTTTATCCACATTTTATTTCAAAAATGCGTTACCCATAGGTTGATATATAATCACTGTGAAAACCAAGACATTTGTATGTGGGGAAGTTGCAATGCCGCAGAACAATAGAGAGTTCTACAGTTTTTACGCGCATTGTTACTTAAGACACAAGCATTCCTATCTAATAAGCTATGTTGTTTAGAGATGTAAATTGCTCTCGCTACCTACGCTATGGTCTTGAATAGTTTATCTGCGCGAAAACGCAGAGCAAAGAAAATGGAAAATAAAAAAAAGAACCTTAGACAAATATGGGATGACAGCGTACAATTTACGACGAGTACCATAATATGAGTATCATAACGATATGAACAGTCACACAGACCGAACTTATTTAATTGTACTCGCATTTTAGAGCGCAAAACAAGTGCTGGACACAAGTGCATGGATTGAACAGGTAAACACGTCCTAACATGTTTTCAAATTAGCGTGGCTAAGACTTGAACTTGTGCTAACATTCTCTAAATATAACAATTATCTACGTTCACCGTTTAAAAAAAAACGATTACCCAGGTGATTAACCGATCGATTCTTATTTTTAGCATAGYATTTTAGGTTGATTTCAATTTTCTGGGAAAAGAAAATGATGTTTAGGTGCGTGATTATTGTGAATGAGAGGAGAAAAACAAATACGAWTAAAGTGCTATTAGCTACCTTGGCTGTTCTTCTAAAAGACGGAAATTCAATATCAATTCACTATCAATTGGGGTGAAGGCCTCTCTAGTTAGCTTGGATGCTCGTTGTTTTAAATTGCCAGGCACATCCCATACTCCAGGCACAACCGAGGCTGAGTCTTTTCCAAAACTCAGTGAATGCGAAACACCTCTTTTATAAGGCCATCCATATTTCGTAAACACAATCCTTTTAAAAAGATTTCTTACAGTAATTGTTGATTTGGACTGTATTTTGTTATTAGTCTTGGACCGATAGTTCACTCCAATGGGACGAGAACCAATATGGAGGAATACATGAAGTCACGATAAGAGATGATAACATTTGGGT